GCCGCAATGTGCCAGCGGTAAAAAATATTTGCTTCTGGAAGAACGATGAAAGATCGTAGTGCAGCTTAGTGCACTTCACCCCAGTGTGAATTTAAGTGAATTGTCCCAGAGAAACAGAAGTAAAAGCAATACGACTCCCTTTCTGCTGTATGGGTGGAGGTAGCGTAGCAGCAGGCGCCCTTTTTAATTATGGGCGCGGTGCGAGGGTAAGATCCCGGCTATGATGTCACCCGGGTTATCCAAGATTTACATCCCCTTAGGATCGGGGAATTGACATTCAGGAGCATAGAAAGACTGCCTTGTTCACCAGCTGGCTTCCCCAAGTCACTGCATAGGAAACGTCCCATTCAGTAGGTCACTACGATTCTGAGCTGAAATAGAATGCACGCTAAGAAAGGGAGTGATCTAGCAGCGGAAACCTTTATATTCTGTCCCTCAGCTGCTGTATGAATGATGTTCTACATTCAGAGTCGTCATCGCTTTTTGTCGCAGAGGTGATTTCATGTTAAGTTGCAAGAGCGAGTTTACGGCACGCCCGCGTCATTTTGTTGTTTCTCACGCCGCTCTCATGGATCTAGTAGCTGCCCCCTATGAGGATGGTGGACGTGCATTTGTTCATGGAACTAGCCCAAGAAGGCCGTACGGCTCCGCCCACCTGCCGACCACGCCACCCAACTTCATTTTTAATGGTTGCCTGATGGTGCGGTTGTTCCATTGCTGCTTCTCTCCACGTGGAGTGGTGAGAGTGAGGTGATAAGGGAAAACAGCTGATATGAACAAGTGGAAACTCGTGCAATCACTCCTTCTCTTCGCCTTAAGCACGTACAACCGTTGTTCGGTATGAAACTCCTTCTAGGGCATTTTGCGTGTTTCTCTTTGATTTTTCTTCACTAATAGACTCTACCTCGGCTGTTACCTACCTGAGCCGCATAGCTCATTAAATCTGAACGCGGGGCGCTGCCTTTGAAGTTGCAAGAGCGAGGAAGCCTTCTTGAGTCAAGGTCTTAGGCGCGTCTTAGAACTCTAGGCATCGCCTGTGGCACATCACAGCATGGGCCTCTCTTCGCAGACCTTCACAAGGCAAGCCTAACCGGAATGAACCAGAAAGGTCGGTGGATTTAGTAGCGCCACTTAAACGCAGTTGCACGATAATTTGGTACTCGGCCTAAAATGCTAGGAAGGGGATATAAGGTAGGAAAATGGTGAAAAAGCGAAGGAGAACGGTTAAGAAACTGCGAAGAAAAGCCTTCGTTCTTACTGACTCAAAAAGGAATTTCGGACGATTGTTGTGTAGACGTCCTGCCAATAACCACTAACTATGTTAATAACTATGTTAGCTACGGCTGCACGTATATATCCATGCAATACAGCGGCCGCTTCATATCCTTCCCTTCTCTACTTATTTTATTTCGCAAATGAAGCAGCACGAGGATCAGGTACGGTCGTCCATTTGTAGGCGGGCGGGCGTGGTGAAGGCGTTCAGGTCGGTATGTTGTAGCTTGATAGGGCCTTATAAGGGTACCTTCCATGGAAACATGCCCGCGCAGCGCCTGTTCCCAGGGTCACAGAATTCTGTCCTGCCAGGCGTTCTAATTCTATTCGTCCTAGATATTTATCCTGCCACTGCTAACTGCCTTTGATTCACAATCCGCGGAAACTGAATGGGCGAAAGAGTGGGTGAGGACTCAAAACAATTGTGCATCCCTCGTTCTGGAAATCTACTTTCAAGTCGGTATGAAGAACAGCGCATCGATGAATGGAATTCCTGAGTTATAAGTTCAGAAAAAGGCGCAATACAGTACCCGAAATTACGCATGAAATTGAGTGCACCAGCAGGTACAAAGTAATCCAGTGACTCAAAGTGAAGTACCCCTTGATTTACGCCTAGGCAGCGCCTGGCTACAGATGAAGAGCGGAATCGATGTCGCGTTCGTCTCCTGTTCAAATCTGGATAACTAAAGCGGCTTACAGTATTCCCAATTGTGTGCGTTCAGGGGACCGACACATTCCGCTATTTTCGATGCTATATGCTGCCTGTCTTCGTGAACTTGTAATCTCGTGAGGATATCGCTACGGTTATGAACTTTTAAACACATGATTATCGCGGAATTGCCTTCAAACACATTTTCTTGCATCACTATGGACCAATTAGTCAATCACGAAAGAGGACTTGTGAAATTTCTCCTACCACAAGCATTTTGGTAAGTTCTCACAGTCCTTGATGTGATTCTTTGCTGGAAAATGTAGCAAGAACAACTAGCAAGAACTCACCTAATACAGTCGGTTCGAGGTCAATGTAGATGGCACGTGGTACGAACTTCCCATTATTGGACTCGGAATAAAATGCTTGAAGCGACTGAAATAGGTAGAGTAATAGTGACTAATCCACGATATGAGTATGCATCATTTTCTTCAGAGTTATTTGCTCCAGACAAAGCAACGAGCCGTCACTTTCCCAAACATTCTTGCGGAGAAGCACAAAAGGGATCAGTTCGGTCTTTGGGGGGGGGGGGGGATAAGAGGGAGGGCACTCTGGGCATTTTTGCTACGTCCCATCAACGTGTCCACCCATCTAGATAGTCTTTTCTTTAGTTGACAGCATTTACCATGGTGGCTCGCCGAGCTTGCTCCAGCTTAACAGGAGTTCACAGGATTCACCAGAGTGAGACTTTGCACAACCGGAAGTAGTTGACGGCAGCGAAGGGTTAAGCATGCCCTCCCCCCTGCGCTGAACTCCGCCCACAAAATTCTGCCGCACCAAAGTGTTGTCAGTTCAGGTGAGTAAAGTCTGGGAATGTTAAGGAAAGGCGGTAAGAAAATTCCATTAGGAAAAACCCTTTTCATAAGCGAGCACACTTTCATAGCTGATGACATTCTTCTAGAAAATGGGGATTTGGTAGCGAAACGTTTTTGAGTACAGAATCACCTGTGAGTCCATCTTTTTCTGATCGATTGATTCATCCAGAAATCCACTTTGGTCTATGCCGTGTTCCAAGCAGTAGAGTTCCCAGCAGGCATTTCCTATTTGGGCTCCTGCTTGTCCAATGTGAATAGAAATACATTCTCTCTAAAAGACAACCTTAGAAGGACAGCTCTACACACAATCTTAACAAAAAATCGGGAGGTAAGGGTACTTTACACCTTCGAAGGCTTGAGGCGGTGGCTGGCGGAAGAGACCGAATGAGTGTGTGAGGATGATGGTCGGAACAAGGTCGCTCTAAGAGATACAACAGTGAGATTACAAGCCGCGACTGACCCGAAAAACAGAAAAAGCAGAAACTGAATGACCTCCGATTAGATTTCGCGCATGCTCCGCTCTTCACAAGGAGAATCATAGCTATTCCTTATATAGCCTGTGAATGCTGTAACGATGCTTATGAAGGTTGTTAAGGAAAACCGAAACGAGTTTGAGAGCTACTGACCGAAGGGGATACTATAGTTTGAACGGTTTCATGTGCATACCCTTGACATTGTCGCTACCAGTCGGGCAGTGTCAGGAGGCATGGAATGAGCCCATTTGCGGCGTTTTCATCATCGGTTGTTTTTTCTCTGAATTGAACTAACCGGTTACTATTGGTAAAGAAAAGCAGCCGGATTTGGGCTGATTCCGCTCCTTCTGACTCCGCCCCGACTGACTGCTACGGATCAATATGAAATGTGTTCAGTGAACCAGAACATCATCCTAGGAGCTTCGTGCCGACCACTTGTCATTTCACGACTTTGAAATTCTATCTGTACCATCAGTGCTAATGTGTGCAGCACTTCAAAAGAAGTTCACGCAGCGAGGCCTGCATTCAGCGATAAGCATAAGTGAAAGGGCGCAGACAAGTAGCACGTTCGATTGGGCGTATGATTGGTCTCCATACTCCGCGGCAAGACGGGCGGAGTATAGAGACGACATCCTGCATATTACCTTCCGTTTCCGTGCATATTAGCGACGAAGAAATGAGGTCTAACTGCAGCTGTGGACCCATTCTCCGTAAACACTTCAAGGATTAAGATTCACAGAGATGAGCGCACAGTTGGTCTTCGACGAGCCAAATGCATAAGACTGCATGGATGTCCATCTTTGTGAGTGGGTGGAAATCCGGCCGTTGCTGTGAGTGTTGCTTGTGAGAACGCTGTTTGGAGAAGATTATGAAGTGATTCTGCGTCACGATTAGTTTGCAGGAACGCGAATTATTGACAAACAAGACTGGCTCCAATGACGAATTGCGAGCTACCGTCGTGGCTGCCGTGTTTTAAGACAGCCCCCGCGCTCGAGTAGTACATCGGTCGTCCTTCCTTGTGCAAGTAGTACACCCCCCAATCTAGAGACTGTCCCACTCTATTCTTCTGCACAGAGGAGCGAGCGAGAAGCGAGCTACAGCCGCTGTAAGTTCTAGTTCTAACGCCTGCTCAGTTGGACCGCCTTACTTGCTAGATGTCCTCCGACGGAGGCCACTCAGTTGTTCTTAGTTGGGGCGGCGGCATTGCTAATGCCCCCCCACGAGAATTACTGACTCTCCTTCATTTACCAGTTCACTATGGAGGTATATACATTCAATTCAATCCATTTCGCGAGGTGAAACGCGTAAAAAACACGAGTGACGCAATTTTCGTGATGCAAAACCACGACGCACAAAAGGTGCGCTACCGTAATCACAAATTCAGACACCGTGTTGATAAAATTCCTTTTTCCTTCCAAGAGTTTTTCCTCTGCGTTTTTGTTGTTTTCTTTTTGTATTCTTTTTTTGCACTGGATGATATCAACTACTGCGAGATGTGATAGAGAGATTTGTGAGCTAGGGGTTGCACAGAGACCGCAGGGAGGGTGACTGTGAGGGAGCGATTTTGTTTATGTTGTTCTGGAGGACGCTTCTTGCCTGTTTTCTTCTTTGGGAGATTACTTATCAGCTACTGTTTCATAATTGGAAAGCAGCTATCCATGAGACTTTTATCGCGGGAGCTGTCTTTAATCATTACGTGACAACCGCCTTCTACCATTCATGGAATTATGCCTGTCTACTCTTTGAGTGGCAGAGCGCCCGTTGTGTTAGTAGGTTCAGTATTTCAGTTACGGTGCTTGTGGTGAAGGTTCAGGTCCTTTGTAGGACTCTAGGATCCAGCCTTTTGCACAATATCAAAGCATTCCTTTGATAACTTCTTGCTTTGTCAGTAATGTTTGAGCGATAAAATGGCATTTTAGGGCTGCAAAGGTCGAGTGGGGGATAAAGGATGAATTTTTCGCTGATGGATCCCTTTTTGGAGAGCGAGACGTACTCTACTTTCCTTCGGAATCGTAGTTGTATATGAGTGCATGTGACTACAGTGATTAGCGGAGCCAGCTGATGTACAGGTTCATGAGCTTGAGGATTTGCACAGAGGAATTCCGCAGGTTTTTCACGGTACAACTATGTCGAGTCTACTGAGAGCCGTACTTTACCTACAGATTGATGTTTCTATCCTCTCACATCATCTATCATCAGACAAGTCACATCCGCCGTAAAAGTTGAACAATGCAAAATATGCCCACTGGTTTCACGTTGAATGCTAACATATAGGAATAATCTAACCGCCAATTTAATTCCAAGTCTAATGAATGACGACTGGTTGAGAATTGTAAGTAATAACACGTGATTCACAATAATGAGCATTTACTGTCGACGAGATCGGTTTCGCCGGTATGGAGCAGATCTGACTCGCCACGCATGGGTTCCACAACTATTCCAAAATGCTATTTTTCAAAGGTTGATCCGATGGTTTTATCGTTTGATTCTCTCTATGCAAGGGTCAAGAAACTGGTTTAGTCTCCGCTTCGCCACTGGCCATTGGGAAACACACAGTTCTCATGCACCGCCAGAATACCATGATGACCGTGATAAGAACGGTACTAAATACAGGTTGCGACCTTCAAACTGAAAAACCTATTAATGGCTTGCAATCTTTAGTGATTATTGCGCGATGTTGACTTTTACAACTAGCCTTGATGCCGCTTGATGCGGATAGCACGTTTTTACTTGAAACTTCAGCTAGACAACCCCGTGCTCAAACCAAATTTGTAGATTTCTCCTGGTTAAAATAAACAGGTACATACAGTGCGTATCAGAAGTATCAGACACACCTCCCAAAAGTACCATAGTGGCTACTCCGCAGGAGCGTAAAGGAAGTAATAGCCTCTAGTTGTTATAGAGTTCAGCATATCTCGAAACCCTGTTTGACCGTTTTTCACGCCAACTGGAAGAAATCGGGAAATTTTTTATCAATAAGCTTCCAATCTAGCTGTATCATAAGTATAGACACACTTTGAAAATTTAGCAGAAAAGAAATTCCTTTCTGCGAAAAGTTACCATTTCACGAAGGCAATAACTAACAACGACTATCCTGCACCAATCACCAAATGCCACGAGAATCTCATCCATCCGACGAGAGCAGGCTCAGATTAGCGCCCTGCACACAGCAGGTCTGAGCAATTCGTGAGATTGCTCGCCAGCTGCACCGTTATTCGCCTGATTGGTGTCAGGCAGTATCTGCTTGGCGGCCGGAAATCCCATGAAGGCCAAAAGAGATTGGTAGGCGAAGAAGCTGCAATTGCCCGGACGAACGCCAGATGCGGCTTGTGCTCCAACTCGACGAGTGACGACTTCGCTTCCAAATGACGGATGAGCGGGCGAGCAAACGCAACAGCAACATTGCGCGATTTGCCGTTTTGTCCACTCTCCGACTTCGAGGTCCTACAGAGAGCTCGGCTACCAGTTTCCAGATTTGAACATGGCCAACAAATTGCAGGTCAAAGGTGGGGGTTCTTCTCTACAGCCTAGTCAATCGACGAATTTCTTTTAGTGGGCATTGCTTTTAGACATGAGAAGGAATTAAGCTGGATGCTTAGACGGTACGTCATTACTGGAGGATCTTGGCAAGAATGAGACAGTTTTGTCGAGCAGCGCGATTTCGGCGGAGGCAGTGTTAATGGTTTGGGCGGGATTCCAGCGAGGCGGCAAGCTCTCGAAAACTAGCCTTCATTTTTTCTACCCGGGAAAAAGAACTCAGTAGACTACCAGGACATGCTTGGGCGACACCTGCTGCCATTTGTCGCTAGTCACGGTAGAGGAGAGTTCGTTTTCCAACAGGACAATGCGGCCATCCATGTGAGCAGGTCTACTATGCATGGTGGAGGAGAAATTTAGTCACTATGGATTGGCTCGCTTGTTTTCCGGATGTAAACCCCATAGAGAACATCTGGGGTATACTTGTCAGGGATATTTACAGTCAAAGACGGACTTTCTCAAATGTCGCGGACCTCCGGACAGCAATCAGCCAGGCATGGGTTCGTTTGGATCCACAGCTGCTGAACAAACTGGTCGAGTCCATACCAAACCGCAATTTTGAAAGCATTTCAAAAAATGGAGGACCAATTGATCATTGAAAGGCTGTTAGTAGTTTGTTTTCATAAGAAAGGTTCCGGGTTCTTGAAGTGTGTCTATACTTATGATACGGTCTGAAAACAGTTCGAGCGTCCGAACAACTTATTTTCAAATTGACAGTGAATCTGTTGAATTAACGGTTTTCGTAGTCTTCTCGATTATACCGGTATCGAAATGTTTCCCTGAAACTCTGTTTCGAAATCTGGACGTTTTTTGGGGGTGTGTCTAACTATATGAACAATGTATAGTGTAGTTCGCTGCGGACGGTGGGGCGTGTCAGGCGGGATGAGTTTGGCGCGGTGCCAAACCCGTTCTCCACCAGCTGTTAAAGCGAGCAAGTGACAAGACTGTATCATGTCGTTCGTATCACTCGTTTCCCAACAACTGTTGTCGCGTAACTGCTTCAACAACTGGCAGAGAACGGTTTTTCACCGTGGCACACTCATACTGCCTGACACGCCCCACCGTCCGCAGCGAAATACTCTATAAGTGCAAAGATTATCCCACTTCCGCAGCTCCGCCACGAGTAACGAGGGCGGTGCGGAAGTCAGAAGTTGCAGTCATATATGGTATGCCGTACGGTACGGTATACATGAAAAAGGATCTTACGAATCTGTCTAGCGCAGGTTCTGTCTTTGCACGGTCGAAACGTTAGGCAAAATTGAATAGATGTCCCACTAGCAATCTCATAATTCACAAACAACACACCTGCAGGAAGAGAAAACTTGGAAAACTTCATCAGGCTCAGAGGCCGGTGCATGTCGCATGAGGAGTACGGATGAAGATGTGAAAGAATTGAGGGAGTTGTCAGGCTTCGGTGAAACAATGTTAAGCAGACTGCGAAGTCACAGAAAGATGTAGAGAGAGAAAGTTAGGACCTTTCACCCTTAACTGCCCTGTCCATCGAAGTTCGAACTTATTTCCCAGAAACTTGTCCGCGAACAGATTAGGCTAGGAATTTGTCCTCGGAGGTAATTTGATCCCTGAGCTACAATCATATCTGCTTGGCGCCTACGTCACAGCCATCGGTGTCAAATTTTCGGAGAGATCTTCCGTGAAAAGTGCAAAAGATATCGTCGAGGTTGTCGTGAAAAGGTCTCGTATTTTGTTGTTCTTATCCTTGAATGGGT